CAGGAAACTATTACACTGTGTAAAAGCACTCAAATTGGCTTAAATTAGTGCTCAAGCTGTTGCTGAGCCAATCTAGTTTTGGGATCCTGGTGAAATGGGAGGCACCTGGGTAGTAACAAGCTGGGCTGCTCCACCTGGGGAAGGAGGAGCACACCCATGGGGGGTGCTGGGCCCCGGGCAGGTATGAGGTGGTCCCTGTTTGTACTGGCCTCCTTGCTGGGTACGAGGGAAGCTCCTCTCCACCTCCAGTAGCAGGTGAGGTTGAGGGGTTAGAGGGGTGAACAAGGGGCTTCTTGACGTCTTCCTGAGACACACAGCCCCCTTGGCAGGAGCACAGGCATGAGCAGATGCTGGTGCTGCCTGTGTTATACCTGAGACTTGCCTAAAAAGCCTGTTTTTTACACACAGGCTCAACCAAGAGCGGCCCAGCTCCTTGCTGACACAGGCACAGCCTCTCTCTGCGCTTGGTGCTGTCTCTTTACCACAGTATTTCCACTGCGTTGTTTCCCCCTGCCTCTTCTGAGCCCTTTGTGCTGGCAGGTAAGATATGGGTTGCCTGAGCCACTTTTTGGTCACTTTGCAGTTGGTGTCCTCAGTTATTTTCAGATAGTTTTGTTGCCTAAAAGCAATTTTATTGCCCTAGCACTCAGAACGGTAGCACTAGTGGTGAAGTTGTTAACTTGCTTATCTAAACTGATTTTTAAGGGAAAAAACCCTCAACGTTAACAATTTCATTGACTTACAAACTCGACTTGCATCAGTGAAGTTTTACTGACTCTGCACCTGTGCTTTACCCACCCATGACTTACTAATGATGAAAGAGTAACATAAAACTTCTCAAAGTTAATATAAACTCCATGCAAACCTACTTTGGGAATCTCCATGGGATTTTACTTTTATGTCTCTCCGTCCATTTTTTAAAACACTTGAAAAAGTCAACACAGTTCTGTTATGGCTAAAGCCTATATTTTAACCAAACTTTACCCATTATATCACAACCTGATGAGGATTTGAATGATCCTATTTGGTTGGAAAAAGATAGGCTGTAGCTGCAGTCAATTTTTACAGTAACAGTGAGTTAATGATAACGTCTGTGTTGTTCATTTGACTATCAAACAGAACAGTACTGGATTCCCTGTTTTATGTACATGGCCTTGCTAGCACTCCCTCCTTCAAAATAAAGCAATTCCAAGGTTCAAGGCTATGTCTGAGCTCTTATCAAGTCCAGAATTACTGCTCTCGCTAATTTGTTACTGTGAATATTTTATGATACCAAAGATGCTGTTGGTTGGGTTTTTTTTAAATCAACAGGGCAGTCTACTTGAGCCCTGCCAACAGCCATGCTACAGAAAGGATTTGTTTCCATTTTTAATATCAATGCAGTTACTGAAGGAAACTTTCAATACATCGTACTTAATTTATTTTCAAATGGAACAAGTGAAACACATGGACCATATTCTGGGAAAATCTTTTGGCTGCAAAATTAAAACTGACGTTATATGGAACAGTTTTCTATTTCACATGGAATCTCAAGATACTTTTAAATAATTCAGATTTTAAAAAATGCAAGAGTTTTAAATCAATAGATGCTATGGACGCGAGTTTCTGAAAATCCATACCATGTTCATATTATTGAAACTTTATTTCAAAGAACTGATGCTCTTTCTTTCAAATAATACTATTGGTTTGATTTACACTGTAAAAAAAATGAGAATTATATTCCTATAATACACGTATATAAAAACTGTTACACAAAATTAATATATTATTGTATGAACCATGAACAGACTACTTGTAAAGAAATGCTCTGGCTGTTATTCAACAAAATAGTTAAGCACATGCTCAGTTTTAAGCAAAAAGACAAGAGAGCTTTTTCTTTGCCTTAATTTAAGGCACATAAGTACTTTGTTTAAGGGATACCAGGATGTACTTAAAAAGAACATAGGGGAAAATTATTTCTGATGGACACTTGGTGGCAGCTTTCATCTGTAGGCTTAATAGCTGTTGCCACTTAACTTCACTGCTTCTCTTCTGTAGCAGAGGACAAGCCAGCAAACATAGACTATAAACAACTGGGGTATATTTTCCCCAGAAGACTTGGTCAACAACTTTCTCTGATCACAAAAATAGTTTCCCAGGAACACTAAAATCAACACAAATATTTATTTTGACTGAAGCAGGCAGATTTTTGTTGCTCCGTCCCTTTAGGAAACCAACCAGGAACAAATGTTTTGTGAGGTTCTTTCACAAATTCAAGTGGAGAATGACTGGCAATTATTTTTAAGAAAAACCCACCTAATTCTAAAAACGAAGTTTAGTTCTTTAAATGGGAAAGCCGTTGCTAGGCCTGGTAAACTTTCTCATGAAAATTCTTCATCCTTAATGGATCAACAGTGAGATTTGGGTATAAAACAGGTTGCGTGGTGATTTTTTGGCTCCTGGAATTGCTGAAGCGGAGTGCTAAGAAACACTTGTTGAAAGATTTCAGGTCAATCTGCTGAAATATCCACTGGACTACAAACATGGCCCTCAGAGGCCTGGGAATAAAGCTATGTGGTGCCTGAGAGTTTCTTGGGCTCTTTGGGTATAAAACTTGGAAAGGAGAGGGACCTTGGGCTCCCAGGGCAAAGCAGTGACTGACACCCAGTCTTGAAGCTTTAGCCAGGCTGAGCTCTGACGGCAAACAACAAATCTCCAAGTTCTGTGGCAGCACACGGGGGTCCCGCTATAGCTGGTGCTGTGCACTGCTGTGTAACAAGGATGGGACCAGTCCCAAAGGCACGAGATGTGGGCTATGTCTGAAGTACGGACAACGGGGGGAAGTGCATCCTCTGGTAAGTCCCAGCTCACTGTATACACAGGACAGAGTTGCCTTCTGGCTCTGTGAGAGGGAAATCTTGACATGCGGCCTGAAAGGGAGCTGTGCTCCCGCTAAACCTCACGCACTTCTATCTACAGGTTTCTGGCAGCTTAAGATAAGGCATGTCGTATTGGGAATCATAAAACAAGGAAAAAATCAATCTCTTCTGTTAATACTGAGGATATTGATTGAGTATTCAGAGCCTTCATTACTGGGAGAAGCTTTATACGTCATTTTCTCTGGCAATTTTGCTCGCACGACCCTTTCCAGTCCAGCTAGGAGGACAACTAAACGCAGCAGACCCAAGCCAGCCGCGTCCAGGCGTTGCTGGTTTGCCCTAACGCGCCCCTGTTCGGCAGCTCCTGGGAGGGGGCTCCCCCTGTCCGCGTGCCACGCCACGCCGCGCCACCCCACCCCA